GGGTCATTGAGGCACGCAAGCCATCACACCACGTCAAGGTGCAGTCTCGTCGTGATGGAGTAAATGACTCAAGCAAAGTGATGAAAGGATACATAGTCGTCCGTTACACAAGTCCAATTAGCGCTGATAATGCAGCTAGACCCCTGTCGTCAACTACGGAGCCGGAAGCGGTAGATTCAACCTAGTTTACTAATGGAGGTTTTCTGGTTATTATCTAGGACTGCTTGCTGGTCGACTACCAAATATTGTTGCTGTCTACTCTATCAAGAGCTGCTTTATGTTTGTTCTTTTTCAGGCGTCGTCCGTATAGTTTCAACTAAATTTGAATTCTCGATTGAAACTGTACGGACGACGTCTGAAAAGGAAAAGACATATAACAGCTCTTGGTAGAGTTGACAGCAACAAAATTTGGTAGTCGACCAGCAAGTAGTCCTGGATAATAACAAGAAAACCTTCATTAACTGGGTTGAATCTACCGCTTCCGGCTCCGTAGTTGAAGACAGGGGTCCAGCTGCATTATCTGCGCTAATTGGACTTGTGTAACGGACGACTATGTTTCTTTTCATCACTTTGTTTGAGTCATACACTTAACGCTAACATTTCTCTCTACTGTTCACTTTGGTACCAATGCGTTAAATCCTTTGATGTTGCGGGGCACAATATAATGGGAACAATACAAATTTCATCGTTAACTGAATTGAACTCCTGCATATAGGAATGCATACTAGGATAACTGTACACATTTGTATCCGCTAGAGATGACCCATTCCCACAACGAAAACTGAGTCGCCGAAAAGCCAACAGTTCAATGCCCGGATCGAGACATTGCTTTATGATGGTAGGGAATGTATTCAGCAGTTGGTAGTCAGACCTATTTTGTGTAAAACCCTCGTCGGACCGTTTTATCACAGCAAACGAAAAACCCATCTTCACACGCTCAGGTATTTACCATAGAAGGACACAATTTCAGTTACCATTAAAGAGTTAATATGAAAAATACATGAATGCACCTGTGAAAAATAAGCCTGCGAATCCAACCAGCTGTCAGCCGCACAGAAAAACAGTTATGTATGATACGATCAGGCAATGTGGGAAATAGGAATGATACCAGAATGAGTGTGGGGAGGGAAGGACAGACAAATGGAAGAATTATGGTCCCTTACCGTAACCCATGATTTTACTTTCTCCAACATTTCCTGACTGAATAGCGCATCGCGTAGACGAGCTAACGGACCTTGCACGTTAACGGACACGCAACGGTGAAACGCATCACAGTAGCCTCGATAGTTGTCACATGGAGTTCCAGGAGACATGCGCATGGCAACACCTCTCCTTAAGATTCGTTGACTTAACTCTGGGTATTGCTTTTGCAGTTGCGGGTCCTGAAATCCGAGTACAAGTAGAGTATCAAAATACTAATTATGTATGTAGACATTTGAATAAGAAAGAGATCATTTCTGTGAGCGAGATTGTGATCAATGAAAAGTACATGAAAGTTCGGCAATGTTAACGGGATTCAAACAAACGGCATACGAGCTAATCAACAAACGACTAAAGCTACTCTCTCTCTCTCTCTCTCGTTGAATCTGTTAGTGCGTAAGAGAGCACTATAATCGAATCCTGTTATCTTATCCACATCTGTATTTGTTCAAACAGTTTGAACGGTCGCATCCTTTTCCAACGTTTGGACTCTCCAAATAAACTTGGTACCATTGCGTCAAACTTCGAACGTGTAAAATGTGTATAGAACATAACTTCACAGAAAGTGAGAAACATGTGTCGATTGAGTTCCTATCGAAGCGGCTCATAAGGAGACATACACGAACACCGGGAACAATCAACCTCCTTGACAGCAAACTGGTGTCATAGCACATGTGCAGAACTCATGGAGATGGCATTTCGATGAGACTAGACTGCATCTTCATCATTATACTTGATGTTGCTGTTCTTATCTTTCTGGAGCAGTTTTGTTATGTTGTTGTCGTTGCTATTGTTGTATATTTCTTATAGTTCCAATGCATTGCAGGTTGGATTTTGCTTAGTTGAAAGCTCCGATTGTGGATACCTCAAGAAAAATCACTTGCTTTAAGCTAGGTAATCTAGAAATATTACGCTCACGGGTAAATCATGGATCTATTTCTTTGATACAAACATTATTCTACTATGATTGGTTTTGCAACAGTTTCAATCATGCGTATGAAATATAATGATAAAAAAAATTAATAACAGAAATAATAAGAAGAAGAAATGCTCAATAACAACGGGATCCACTATCTACGACAGCAGACCGTATTAGAACATCAGAATTCGAGACTGCACATACATTGAAATGTGCATGAATCGTTTGACGCTTCACGTGTGAACCGATTTGTTGCCCTGTTTCCTTTAACAAAATTCTTTTTCGGGCACAACACGTAACCTAGGTACTAACTCAGCTAGCTTAGGATTTAGATGTGAGGATAACTAGAGTTCATTTATCGAGTTAGATATGAGGTTTGCGGCCCACCAGTGACAGCGTCACCACAGACTGAAATCCAGTGCCTGCTTTATGTTCTTTGATAAATCATATTTTAGATACGCCACTATCATGCTAATTCGAATGTCCGGTTGATCATTCAGACCGCATCGAACACCTATCTGTGAGACAGAAACTGGAAATTATCAGATGTTATAATCAACTAAACCACAATTTCAGAACAGGCAATGAGCAAAAATAACATTATTGTAATCACTTTTGTGACAACGAATGTTCGTTTCTCTTACTCGCTTGCAAAAGCACCAACAAGGCGGAGCAAACACAGAAGCCAACCGGTTTGATGGCGATTGAAGTTGGACCACTTCCTTTTATTTTGTGCATTATTTTGATGAATAGTAGACGGAGTAAATTCCACATTCTCAAGGATTTGCTGCTCTCACATGAGAACGGGCAGTCTTAGCCTCCGGACTTGGAGTGGCGACCAACATGATTCCCCGCTCGATCATGCGCGGTACTGAACCTGATCTACTCTTGGATCGATCGAAATATCACGTACTGCGACAGTGATGGATTCTTTTTAATGGAATTATGTTTTCAATTTCAGTTTTTACAACCATTAATCATGCACTTTCGTGCGACGGTTTTGGTTGTCTTTTTCAAATAATAATTATATGAGTACTCGTTCCATTCTACCCATTTCATTGCATCTATGTCAAAAAACGGTAAAAATGGTGCATCTATTGTCCTAAACACATTATACACAGGTTGCAACCGTAAGCTTTCAGACGTAGAGTATGTAAACTACAAACATATTATTGACAATTGAAAACACAATTGAGTTGCGGGACGGATTTCTGGATCAAATTAGCGCCGTTCGGCATGCATTTTCCACCTTCCATTTTGACATAGTTTCAGCGTGTACAACTATCAAAAATGCGCTTTTGTGCAGCGATTTTGGTTTCTATCTTCTGGCAACCCATACAGATGAAGCAGTGAAAAGAAGACAGGGAAACTGGAGTAGAGTCACAGGGAAAATTCATTAAGTTTGCAAATAAAATTGATAAAATTGGGACGATTCACGAAAGGCAATGTTTACGACAATCAGCCATGATTATTCAGTGTCTCTAACCACCGGTAGCCAGATAAAAGCCTGTCATCAGGGAGCAACTCGATGCCACTATCCAATCACGAGGATAGGGCGATTTTCATGATCAAATCTACAACAAACACAAATAGAAAAGGTGAGGTGACCTTGGCGAACACTATTTTCTGTGGTGAACTCGGGCGAAAAAGTGCCGCAAACTCGGACTCAACTTCGGATATTGGTATAAAACGATGGTAATATTGGAATAAACTTCTCGGGGTCATCCTTCAAGGAAGAAAGCGACAGAGTTTAGAGCAGTCGAGTGAGTGGAAGGCTGCATTCAAATCAAGATGATGGGACTACGAGAAAAAGGTCGTTGCCCTAGAATTTGGCAAACAGTAAATGTGCGGTCGAAACATCCTAGACCATGTCCAAAACCAGCCTGGTTCCCACGCATGCAAACCTCAGGTGCGGGAGACAAAACGGAGTATCAATCCAGCGAGTATTTTGGAAGCAAACTTCAAAAAAATGATTCCTTTATGGTTTTCACACTAGGATCTGTCACCTTTCTGGTAAATTAGTAACTGTTGGGAAAGGAAACAATCCGTCCGCTCACTTGGCTGGGGTTGCATTTCTGATTCGTCCAAGGATCCCACTTGAGCATTGACGTCTCCGGCGACTACAACGACGTCCGTTGATCGAACACTTTGGAGTAGTTGAGAAAGATCCCTGTAGAATTCATCTTTGATTTCAGGTATACTGCACTCCGTCTGTGCATACAACGATATGAAATATGAGCATCTACGCTCTGTTCTGTAGCTGATGACTCGAACTGAACCGTTGAGACGTACAGCGCACCATCAGCTACTGACTGGAATCCAGTCAAGAAGCGAGCTCTCAGCCTTGGCACTTAGCGCAATCCCGACACCAGCGACACCGCGAGCTTCGGATGCCGAATCGCCTGACACACGAAGGGTGAAGCCTGGGGTGGAGGTTGGATCAGGAGAACGCAGAGAGATAATGGAAGTGGGGTCTTGTATGCGTGTTTCGGAGACACAACATACATCTACACTGAAAGTTTCAAGGGTTCTAGCCAGGGCAGCTTGTTGGTCAATCTGATAGAGCGTGCGGACATTGGACGCGGCTAAGTGAAAAGCGGATTTTGGCTTTAAAAATCCTATAGCTTCTGATTGTCTGGCCTTGATGGCAAAACGCTGAGTGATATTCGATGGGTGGTGTAAACAGGAGGCATCTGGGATTATTCGGGGTTGAGAGGAAGAACTAGACAGATGGGATAGATGGTTGTCCAAATGGGTGCCCAAGACTTTAGGGCACGACATACTTCGCGGTAGCCCACACCGACGAACGGGTTTTTCTTTGGGAACCTTAACCGGAGCCTTTGACTCAAAAGTCTGACCTAAAAGGCAGCGAGCTGTTGATTCGTGAAAGCACCCGTGTGGGAAATCTGTCGATGGCTTAACACCGTGTATTACGCTGGAGTGCATCAGTCTGATTGGATAATCGGACAGACAAGGTCCGAAATTGGGCTCAGAGTTTAAGTGGTTCGCGAGCATTCGCTAACTCAAGTGGGTGGAACATGGGTTACGTATGTCACTAGATAGGAAATCTTGACATGCATGTGTGCCGAGTTAAGCTGAGGGCACACGAAAGTTAATGTTAGTCAGACCATGATCTGCCATCGCGTTACAAAAACTCAAATCATGAGATTTGGTTAGCTGAGCAGCTCATGGTATCGTGACCAAATCAATGGTTAGAGGCACTGAGTGATACGAGTGAGTATCGTGAACAGTGGTCCCCGTGCATCCATTATATCTCAGTTCGTACACAGATTCGGTCTACGTGTTTGCTGTAATTCTATATCACTCAAGCTCTTAGATTTTAACTCCTTCCTTTATCTTTTTCACATTAATGACCGAAAGAAAGCAATCCCAACAGGAGCTGAATTTAGTCACGTAGTTAAGGTCGGGTAATGACATCTAAGTCAGAAATTGTGCTCAACCATACTGCATCTCGTCCGCTGGAAACCATTGGGGGTCATTGGAGGTGGGGTGCCACTTGGTGAATTTTGGACGAAAATTGTGTGGCAGTGTTTGTTGCTTAAAGTTAGGAACAAGGACGCAAAATCGAAATCTGAAAGTTACAGCGGAGTAGTTTCGTTAGATGAAATGGACAAGAAGCTCGGGATTTCGAGCATTCAACACAGGCAGACAGGGAAACAGAACAGTTAAAGGTCATACAAATTTTCGAACCGACACTCCCAGAATGGAACGCATGATAGATGACATGGCATCATCACTCGCTACTGATGAAATCATGCAATCAAACTCTTCGAAAAAGGGCGAATGTGTCAATGCACTTTGATATCATACAGTGTGAGTTTTTCAGTTTGCACAACCATTAACCATGCACTATCGTGCGCCGGTTTTGGTTGCTATTGCGTATTATGGTCACCGACACATTTTACTCAAAAGGGGCAATCGAGATTCAAACAGATTTCAGGAATTAGGTAGATAGNAGGGGCCCCGGTCCGATTAGCCTGGCAAGCCACAAAACAAGACAATTCCGGTTCGGATTTCTCGTCGTGCGTCACCGAACATTCTTGCCAACCGGGAAGGCTTTCACAGATGGAACCAATGCACTCTCCTTGTTTACAGACAAGCGTACCATCCTGTGGTCAAAATGAACAGAATAAGAAAACAGTTTTGGCTGACAAGATCTCGTAGGGGGAGGGGAGATAAACAGAACAAAACAGTTCAAACAAGACCGAGGCTCATCAAAAGAAAGCGACTA